GTTGCTTAACTGGTTTACTGCATCCAAGTAGGTTGCTTAACTGGTTTACTGCATCCAAGTAGGTTGCTTAACTGGTTTACTGCATCCAAGTAGGTTGCTTAACTGGTTTACTGCATCCAAGTAGGTTGCTTAATTGGTTTACTGCATCCAAGTAGGTTGCTTAATTGGTTTACTGCATCCAAGTAGGTTGCTTAATTGGTTTACTGCATCCAAGTAGGTTGCTTAATTGGTTTACTGCATCCAAGTAGGTTGCTTAATTGGTTTACTACATCCAAGTAGGTTACTTTAACACTTTGGGCAACTAAAAAATAGACAATACTAATAATTTTTAATTATTTAAGACACTTGCTGTTTTCAGTGATTTAAAAAAAAATCGTTACAAATTCATATTTTAATGATTTAATAAAAAATAACTAGACAAACTATAAGCTTAAACATTTGAAAGTAATAAATTGCTTACCGTATGACTTTAGGCACATCTTTGTTTGTTTGTTATTATGCGCAAAGCTATACAATGGTCTATCTGTGCTATGTTCATCGCAAGTATCGAACACCGATAGTATATTATACTGTCACTATACTGTTCTATCTGTAGATTATACTGTCAATATACTGTTCTATATGTAGATTATAGTGTCACTGTCCTGTTCTACCTGTAGTTTATAGTGTCACTGTCCTGTTCTACCTGTAGATTATAGTGTCACTGTCCTGTTCTACCTGTAGATTATAGTGTCACTGTCCTGTTCTACCTGTAGATTATAGTGTCACTGTCCTGTTCTGCCTGTAGATTATAGTGTCACTGTCCTGTTCTGCCTGTAGATTATAGTGTCACTGTCCTGTTCTGCCTGTAGATTTTAGTAGCGGACATTACTCTGAAGATCTCTAGGCTTACCCTTTAATCCTGTACAAAATAAATGAGTTTAAAGTTCTATAAAATATAAACTGCTGTAATCCTCACAGTTTAACACACAACATGTTTGGACGAATCAGGGTTATAGGGTTGTAGTTGATGACTGATGGGGGCCTAGTGTCCGTTTGATCAATAATTTAAGATTTTGTCTAAGTTTCATTATCTTACACAAAAATTATTGAAACGATAGTTTAGAAAGCAGCGAAGAATATGAAGGATTTTCTTTCTGGGAGTTGTATCAAGAGCTTAACATGAATCCACTCTTAGTGCATGATCCAAGACTCCTTTGGAGCTGTGAATTATAGCTTTCACAGTATAAGAGCCAATCTAAAATAACTTATTTCTTAGCACCCGTTTTCAAGTTTTAATGTGACAAAATATCCTGGGTTCGATTCCCCACGATTAATAAGCACAAATTGCCCATTGTGTAGCTTTGCACTAACAATGTGAAAAGAAGTAAACGTAGTAATAAAATTAGAAATAAGGATGATAACTTACGAATAATACATTTACTTATGGAAATTGGTACATGTGTGTGTGT